TCTCTCTCTCTCTCTCTCTCTCTCTCTCTCTCTCTCTCTCTCTCTCTCTCTCTCTATCTATCTCTCGATTTGATCGAGAGATTCGAACTATTTTTGACTAATTTAACACAAATTTAAAATATTTCGTTTGGAATCTCAGCTAAAGAAATTTAGAATGATTCGTGTCTCAGCTATGCCGATTTTGTTAAAATTATATAACTATATCTTGAATTCAATTTTATTTATTATGCATTTTTGTTGTACTTGTTGATGATAGGAATAGGAACATTAAAAAGCTATAAACTGCCTGTAAAACTCAAAGTGGGCCTAAATGAAAAAATATGATCTAAATATTTTTTGTACTTCGACATTTGTGCTAAATTATAAAGAAATCGGAGTGCATCTTTTGAATAGGTTTACTTATAAGCAGATAACTAGGCAGTTACTTTTTACTATTAGATGAGTAACTGTGAAACGACTGGTCTCCAAAGGAAATTTTTTTATCACATAAATCGCATAATTTTGACCACTATAGTTCTTTTTATTCTAAATTAGAAAATACAGACAAAGTTTTTTCTATCACTCAAATCACTCTTCTAACACTTTTACAGAGATGCGTTTTTTAAATTTTGAGAAAATTGGTTTTCTTTATAACCTCGTTGACCCGTATGCTCGATTCTAGTCTTTTGTAAATGAAAATTGTTTTTATTATCCGAAACAGTAGATCATACACTTCCAAGAATCTTCACTCTAGATAGTAATATGTTACTTAACTTTATTCATTCACGATGGAGAGTATTAATATGAAATTTCAAAAATTTACTTTGTTACTACTAAATCAGTTTTTTTTTTCTATTTTTGACTATAATATCACCCTAATTTTAATGAAATTTCAGAAAAAGTGTTTATGTTCTATTTCGTGATTTCTAAAATATTCTTTATGTTCTATTTCGTGATTTTGCCTATTCAAGATAAATAGCAAAAAAGCATATTCATCCAGACCCAGTGTCCCTGATCGCTTTTCTCAGCAATAGTATGATATATTTTTATCTGTATGTAATCAGAGCAATCCTCTATCCAATATCTAATTTTAATACGGACTTCACGGCGGATAGGCGCGTACCGGACCGTATCGCGTCTGATTTCGAATTGATTCGAGTGATTCGTTGCGAGCACCATCAACCACGGCTCATGGTGCTCGAGCATTGAGACCCCTCAGTACGTTGTCCTCGGGCACTTTGTTGCAACGGACCATCGCGCGAGCGTATCGATTTAATACACGATTGTTGGTCGCGAATGGGCGGAGAGGCGGCTCACCTCGCGAGAGTGCGAGAGGTGTCTTGTTCTTCCTGTTCTTCCGCGATTCTTACGGAATACTATCCGAACGCAACGCTGTACTCGCGCTCCCTCGTTTTTTTCGCCTGCGATTATTTTCCTACGTATCGGCGTCGATTCGCCGCGGGCGACGGGAAGCGACTTCGACACGACGCGCGCGCGATGTACAAGACCCGGGGTCTCGAGGGAGATTGTATGAAAAAGGCCAAGAGAAATGAATAAATACTGCGGTGCACCGCAGATGCACACGATTACTTTCCATGTAATTCCGGCGAGCTATTAACGCGGCCGTAACGCGCGCTTTACCGAAGACGCGTAAATCATACTGAGTGTGCACGCGCGGACCAGTCTCGAAGCGAGGGAGTAAATTCGCGCGTGTGGCGAATTCAATCCTGCTCAACGGCCGCCTGTCGGCCGACTTTAATTCCGTTTAATTACCGCTAAATCATCCGCGCCGCGATACTTCCCCGGTAATCGGTGTGCGGCTATCGTCGCGCGATCGACCGGTCTCGCGGAACTCGCGCGGCCCTTTCGGCGTGTACTCACCGCGATGAACGTCTCCATGGACAGCACGTAGAACACACCTGCCTTGAAATTGAGCGTTCTTCTTGAAAATATCATGGACAAGATTAGCAGACGACCGGTCTTCGCGGAGAGCTTGTCGTTCCACTCCGACAGCCACTGGCTCTGCGCCAGACGCGCGCTCTGTAACATCGCGAGAGAGAACGGCCGCGTGAAAGTCGCGTCGTTGATTATAGATTATGATTTCGGGTTAATTACACGTCGCGCTGAGATCGATGCGGCTTGCGACTCCCTCACATTGCGAAAATATGCCGAAGGAGGCGCGTACTTCTGCCGGCGATCCCGCGTCGATCAAGTCTCACGTTAACGCACATTTGACAGCGAGCGTGAAAGAAAGACGCAGAAAATGGGAAAGAAAAAAGAAAAGAGGACATATTATTTGAATAAGCTCTATAAGTCTACAAAAGTAAGAGAAAACCAATAAGAGCCTCACATAGAAAAATGTCATTCTAATGCTGAAAAAAGCGATTACTTAGTTGTCTTCTTTTAAGAAATGGTTATGTTTAATAAAAAATATTTTCTCGATAATAATATTAAAATATCACAAATTTCGGAGAAGCTCATGTTGAAAAAACAGAATTTGTTTTTTTTACAAGAATATTATAAAACTTAGTAATCAAATTAAATTTGTTACCATGATATAAAAATTGATCGGAATTTGATCGGAAATATTTGTTTGTTAATTTTTTATTGGATAATTTCTCTAAGTGTAATATTTAAATGCGTAATAATGTAGAAATAAGAGAAGCTTTGTGTTAATATGACGGCATTGTCGGCGTGCGTGGGAGGAAATAAGAAAAGAGAAATTATAGAGGGAAAGAGATATACGCTGATAAAAAAATACTTGAAAATTGATTTATGGGACATAAAGTTTATTCAGAAATAAACTTCATTTCTCACAAAAATAAACTTTATATCTCACAAATAAATCTTCTGGTGTTTTTTCTCAGTGTATCTGATACCTGATATATCACCTCGTTCCCTAGCCAGCAGATATAGAAGAGTTGCGATACGGCCGCCGCCAGGTAAATCGCGAACTTGCAGGTGTTGGAGTTGTGGCCTATGACCTGCTCGAAACAAAGCGGGACTCGATCACGATTTGACCGCGGCACTTTGACTTATCACGACTCACCAAGGTGGCTTGGAAGCCGGTTAGGCAAATCATCGAGGTGCTCGAGAGCATCTGAACGAACATGCCGGCGCTGAACACCTCGTTGAAGTCATCCATTGTGGCGAGCAGACGTTGATGATTGCGGACGGACCTCCGCAACCGCTCCGCAAAGGCGCTATCGTCTCCGCTGCTGCGTATCGCACCGGGATCGTAATTGTCCTTCCCAATCTTGACCGTCGAGGGTATCGCGTAGCGAGAATCTCCGCCCAAATCGTCTCGCGGATCGCGAACAGCCGACGCGTCGCGTCGGTTGCCGCCGCACTTCCTAAAATGCACGTTCAGGATCTCGAGTTGCGCGAGGAACAGGTTACACAAGTTGGTGTGCAGACTGTCCACCCCGATGATGGCGGTAATGCCGACGGATACGGTGCAGGCCTCCACGAAGAAGCCGATCGAATGCCCCGGCTGCTCGGTCGTGTCGAAGGGGTATCGCGCCCTGACCGGCAACTCGCCGTCCTCCACCGGTACGAAGAACAGCAGGGCGATCACGAGGAAGAAGCCCAACGTGCTGAATCCGTAAAAACTTATGCGGCAGATCAGTAGATACTTGGCTAGGATCTTCTCCTCGTCGCCAACTGTGAACGATCAGAGATCGCGTCTCTTGGTCGATTTGAATCGTTAAGTCGCGTTCATGGGATGCGAAAAAACATGTCGAGACTTGCATAGATCTGAATCTCAGATTCGGCGGGATTACATCTCGTATAATCAGATGATTAACATTACAATTAAAATTAATTGAATAACATTACAATTATTGACAATAAAGGCACCTAGTCCACACAACTCTCAACTGATAACGTCAGAAGCGAGAGAATATACGATAAGAATTTTTGCAGAATACCAAGTTCGTCCTTTTTAGTTTTATTTAATATCAATGAAGACTATAAAATGCACCGTTGTTATACAATAGAAATTTTTAGTATAAAATTCTTTCTTCGTGTATAGTGTTAAAGGTCACAGTCCTTTTCCTCGACGAGTTTTACAACGCATCCTGTATTCAAAAGAAGAATTTATTTCTTTTAATAACTTTCAGTTATTTTTCCCTTTTATTGAATATGGGATGCGTTGCGCGAGATTTATCGAAGAAAAATGCAGCCTTTAATATCCTGACTTGTACAATACATTTGTTTGGAGAAGTTTGCCGAAGAAAGAGTAGGTCTCTTATTTCCTCTTTTTATCTTATCGATGAAAAGTAATATCGTTGGTTGACCCTCGAAAGCTTCCTTTTTCTTAGATCTAACCGTGAACCGTTAGTGCAACAGAGAGAGACAGAGAGAAAGGGAGATGTCGAGGTCGAATACGATCGCTGAAGAGATGAGGATTCGAGGGGAAAGTACACACGTCGGTCAATAACGCCGGTGTGTACTTTGCGCGCGTCCTTCGGCATCGTGATGCGATATTAGAATCAGTGAAACTTGATATACAGTCTGCAGGGAACGTCACGTGTCGCCGCGGATGGTATCCGGGCGTGATTGCGAAACTGCCGAGTAATTCCGTATGAATGAGCGCGTAGATCCTTAATCGCGTGTCAAGGAGATGCGTCGCGAATAGGGACTGGCAGGAGAAGAGAAGAGAAGAGAAAGAGAGAGAGACGACCGACGGGAAAAATCGTCCAAGTGGGCCTGAATTAACACCGGCCGAGGTGGCCGACACGTCACGATGGCCCTTCGCGACGTCGCTTTTGACGTCTCTTCAGAACGCGAAATTACGCGCCGTCCTGTCGTCGTGCTCGTTTAACAGGGAGACTACCATTGATATGACTTGGCACTTGAATCACTCACGTGACATCTGACTCTTTCGCGGATCGCGACAATTTAATATTCACATAGATCGCTCGTAGATATAGCGAGACAAATGCTACCGTACGTTATCACCGCCATGAACAAATCGCAAACGAAAAGTCCATTTCTGATGCTATTTTTTTCTGAGAAATTTCAGATATATGTATTACGTTGTATGTAGACAAGTAAGTTTAGCAACGCTAACATGAAATTAATTGCTGAACTTACTGCGTGTACAGAGGAAATACTGTAGTGGAAATTACAATAGTATTTTTGTAATCTTGGACCGTACAAAATTATGATCAAAGTGTATTTGTTTAAAACTATTATAGACTACATTGAAGGGGGTCCAAGATTGATACAAAGCGTCTGAACTAGCATAAGACTTTGAATGATTATAAAATTGACCCCAATTAATCTTTGGTTTTCTTATAATTTGATCATATAAGCATTAAACAATACCTGTGTGTTTGACTCTTATAGATCCTTATTATAGTTACAATTCGTGAGAGCTCCAATAACATTCCTTTACAAATGTTATATTTGGCTGTTCAGTACAAAATTATTATAATTATTTGAATGTTTTTCTTTTATATCGTATATCAGGTATATAGATCATCAAATTTACTACTTTCGCTAATTATTTCCAATAATTTATATTTCCTATGATTTCAATATAGTCCACCTTTACAAAAAACTATTCTTTTTGTAAAAAAAATATAATTTTAACGTAATTTTTATTGCAATGTTTTCTCCTCGTGGAACATACGTAATTTAACAAGAGGATTAAAATAAGCGAAATTTTACAAAAAAATTGAACAAGATTATCAATTCACGATTCTCGAATTCCTCCGTCGTACATCTGAACTTCGCGAATCTTAGCGAGTTTACTCACTGGAAAACGTGCAAAGTCGACGGCAACTGTCGATAACTTCGCGAAGCAGTTGTGCGATTTTCTTCCGACGAAATTGAAAGATCATCACTTTGAAGAGCACGACGACAATGCCGGCGAAGATGCAGCCGTCGTCGGTGACAATCGAGAGGTCGTCGAAGCTCGTGCAAATGTCGGCGAACAGAGTGATCGAAAAGACGAACATGATCGTCAAAATCACTTTGTTGTACACGAAGTACAAGTATCTCGATAAAGCGGACGAGTTCGAATCGAGGGCCCATAAGCCGACGAATCTACGCAAATTAGAGAATATATTAAGAAGACTCTGTCTAAAATAATATTTTTAGACACAATACACATCTTTAAAGTCTCAAACACATAAAAATATAAACAATATGAAAAGGAGAATGTCTCGCAAAAGAATTTCTTGTCGTTGGTAAAACTTAAGTGCGATTGAATTGAACGATTCCATTTAGAGATTGTTAGGAAGTTTTCACGCAATACAATAATATATTCAACATATCTGAAATTAAGCATGAAAAAATATAAAAAAAAGAATCTGCACGAGATAATTTCGCGTTGTCGGTAAAACTAAAGCGCAATGAAATCGAATAAAATTATTCCGTTACGAGATTATTAGGAGAAATTTCCTTACATTATAATAATATATATTCAAACATAACATGTCTATATAAAATCAAGCATAGGAAACTACAAAAGAGAGAATCTTGCAAAGATAACGTTGCGTCGTCGGTGAAACTGAAGCGCGATGAAATTGCATGGAATAATTCCGTTGTTGTTGATGAAAGATGATGTTTTCGGGAGAGATGCGTGCATGAGACAACACGAGACCAATGACAAAATCCCGAGTAGATAATTAATCGAACCACGCCCACGCGTGATAACGTCGCACAGTATGGTTCGCTCACCTCAGATAAGTCGTGTGTATGACGCTCAACTTCCGGAAGTTGTCGAGACAGCCGCCGGCCGTCCTTCGCGGCATTCCTGCGCGACTTCTCTTCGTGACTGCGACAACGATAAAGAGCTCGCGCCAGGGCATACGAGGTCACCTACGTCGCGTGGGTGCGATTCCCTCGTGCGATGTACGCATCGAAGTACTCATTGCGCGTTATCGATACCCGCTTGAATATTCGTGTCTCTCCCCCTCCTTCTCGGCTATTCCCACGCGGAAGATTGCCTACAATAGACCGAATTGCGCGATTGCGCTGTCGTTTTTTCGGATTATAGACTCTTACGGCGCGCACGTGTCCTCTCCCTCGCTCGTCTCTCCGGCGGTAATCCACGAAAGTGACGGTAATTGCATGGCGAGACTTACACAGCGACTCGCGTCTCGATGACTGGGGACGCCGAGGATGAGGACGAGTGCAACGTACCCCGTTCGCGACGTACTACTCGTGGTTTATCGCGATAAAGGAAGACAATAGGAACAACTTACGACAAGCCGCGATTGACGTGCATCCAAAGCGGCCTGTCGTTTTCCACTTAGGGAAATAACCGACTTGGGCAGTATCGATGTCGCGTCTTGTCGCAGAACGATTCCATCATTGCGTTACTGCCGTAACGTTTTGTCAGTCGTTTTGCATTCTACGAAAACGTAAATCACGTTTTATTGGCAACACCGCTGCGTTGGGAGGGTAAGAGGCAAGTTCTTGCAAATTTCAATCACATGAACGACTATTGTACACGAAGGAAAAACTGTTTGACATTTCTAATCATAACCATAAAAAAACGAATACTATAATAATTACGGTCAAGAAACATGTTTTTTAAATTAAATTCTGTTATAGTGCTAGTGATAATAACTTTATACTACTACAATTTTTGTGTTAAAACAACCAAAAATATGATTGGGTTAAAAAACAACTGTAATTTCAGCTAGATCAATTTTTCTCCTCAGTGTGTTCATGTCTTAAGATAAAATTTTTCATTTTAAAATTTTCAACAAAGAGAACGTGGATAATTATTTATAGGTATATTATTGTAGCAAGTCACTAAAAAAAAAAAAACAAAAAATGCAAAAGAATTCCGGTACCGGGAATCGAACCCGAGCCTCCTGGGTGAGAGCCAGGTATCCTAGCCACTAGACCATACCGGATGATGAGTAGCTCTGCTTTAATATTTAGAATCTGGTGTGATGTTGTAATACAGTAAATTGTTGTCTGTCAATTGCACAATAAATATTTTATATTTTTAATATCTATAAATGCTATGTAAACTTGTTCAGTAATATTCAACGAAAACTCTGCAGGCAATTGCAGCAGATGTTCAACAGTAAATGGAGAACAACTGCATTTAGATTTATTTAAACTGTTATATTATCTTCCCCAGCTGCTAATTTTTTTATTCTTTTATTATCCTGAACGAAAAACGCGCGTTTTATTGAAATAATATTACATTTCTGCGGATTTTCGACAATACGTATTATTATATTAATTTATTATTACGTATTATTACGTTTAAAATGATTTCAACAATTTTTTTTTTATTATTTTAAACAGGCAGAAGTGTAAGAATGTGTGTTTAATATGACATATTTGTTTAAAATATACGAAATATAAAATTATTAAGAATCTCACTATGTACCGCATGTTGAGTATCAAGAGAAGCTCTTCCAACGAGTTTCCGTAGTGTAGTGGTTATCACGTGTGCTTCACACGCACAAGGTCCCCGGTTCGATCCCGGGCGGAAACATTTTTTGTCACATAACATTTTTTTTGATCACCTAACATAAAATTCTTTTTATCTAAAGATTTAAAAAATTTTTTATCTACTTTTATTATTTCTTAAAATAATAAAAATTAAACATAACATAATTAACAAGAATAGGTGAATTTTTATATCATATACGCATATATATATACACACAATGTGTGTACTTATATATAAATAGAAATATATATATATATATATATATATATATATATATATATATATATATATATATATATATATATATATATTTAGCAATATATTTAAGCATTTTCTTTCTTTCTTATCTTCATAATTAGATGATTTTAGAGAAATGAATTCAACTGTCAGGATGGCCGAGCGGTCTAAGGCGCCAGACTCAAGGTACATTCCTTCTCGGGTCAAGACCGAGTTTTCCGGGTCTTCTGGTCCTCTCTGAGGGCGTGGGTTCGAATCCCACTTCTGACAAATTCTTTTAGCACTGTTACGTTATTGATTACGTAATGCAGCAAAAAAAACACATTATGTTAGTTTTTAGCATAAATATTATCATTTATTTAAAATTTTATACATAGGGTAATGTATTATTTTATATAAATTTTATTTTAATTTTTCGGAAGGAGTAAAACTTTCTGAAATATTTATGAAAAATATTGTGAAATATCGTGTCCGCGTATTCATTAGAGAATTGATTAAAAATGCCAGTGAAAATGTTGACACGCTTGTACAATGTTTATACTAAATATATTTTAATGACGTGTTGTATCATGTACGGTTTATGATGGGATTTTAAGAGACACGAACTCAAGTGTCAGGATGGCCGAGCGGTCTAAGGCGCCAGACTCAAGGTTCATACCTTCTCGGTTCGAGACCGAGTACGGAGCTTTCTGGTCCTCTCTGAGGGCGTGGGTTCGAATCCCACTTCTGACAAATCTTTTGGTTATGTAGATATTTTTGCAAATGTTGTTTTTGCAATCGATATTCGATAAATATGCGCTTAAAATGCCGGAAGTATTAAGAAACACGTGTTATTCGAGCGTCATAGGTTCGAATCCCGTCATGGACAATCTTTTTCATCATGCTTCAAACAATTTTTTTTTATGATATCTCATCTATAACTTTTTATCCATGTTTTGTGCAATAGTAACAATTGTTTTGGTCATTTTTAATACTCTAAACAATTGCATGTCATATTATAGTTCTTTCATATAAATTCTTTTATATTAATTCTTTCATATAAATTCTTTTTAATTCCATCATGTTTTCTAGTAGAATAACCACGCACATTGAGAGGAAAAATAACTAAAAAATAAAAAATATTTATTCAACGGGTACTGATAATATGTACTAGTATACATATTTTTCACTGAAGAAAAAATTTCTTTCTCTTATTTCAAGTGAAAAAGATTTTTCTAAAGTGAGAAAATATATATTTTTCTAAAACTGTTGTTTTTCATGAAAGCAATTATTTATTTTATCCAAAAAAAGAATTTAGATGTAAGTAAATATGTTATCACAGTATCCACAGAATAAATATTATATATATATATATATATATATATATATATATATATATATATATATATATATTTTTTTTTTTTCAGATATTTGTTCATATTAATTCTTTCATATAAATTCTTTTTAATTCCATCATGTTTCCTAGTAGAATTACCATGCACATTGAATATAACGCAGGAATATCAATAAATATATAATAATAATAAGGAATATATACTGAGAGAAAAAATATCTGAAAAATAAAAAATATTTATTCTGTGGATACTGTGATAACATATTTACTTACATCTAAATTCTTTTATTTGGATAGAATAAATAATTGCTTTCACGAAAAACAACAGTTTTAGAAAAATATATATTTTCTCACTTTAGAAAAATCTTTTTCACTTGAAATAAGAGAAAGAAATTTTTTCTTTAGTGAAAAATATATATACTAGTACATGTTATCAGTACTCGTCGAATAAATATTTTTTATTTTTTAGATATTTTTCCCCTCAATGTGCGTAGTAATTCTTTTAACAGTAAACTTCAGTTTTTAAAGTATAAATAGCACGTGTGTAATGGAAGGATAATAAATTGAAGCAGAACACTGATATGTTCCTCCGTTACGACATTTTATAGTAATTTACACTATAAAATTTTCTTCGTACAAAAATACGCAGATGACCTTTTTCTTTTAATTAATGAGTTTTAAAGATGTTAGAGGAAGAAGATCTTAACGACTTTAATCGACGAGAAGGTGCGCCGTTTCATCTAATAAATTTGTTGGGACTCGCGTCGCATATCACGGGCAGCATTGTCATTACATTGGAAATGTTTCAATATATTTGAATTGTAAATCACGCACGATATTAAATCGTGTCTCTCTCTCTTTCTCTCTCTCAGCGTTGCTCAAACAGATTTGCGAAATTTCGCCGGCGTGTCGGTTCGTCACGGAGAACGAAAATTTACATTCCGACTTGTCACAATGATATCGCATTAAAATTATAATTAACGATACGGAGAGAGTTACATAACGCTCTCGGATGCGCGATTTACCAGGTCAATCGAGCGCGGTGATTGAATTTCTTTCCGCGAGTGCTTCATCACCTCGCATGAACGCATCATATGGCCAAGGAAATAATTGTTTGGCGATCGTTGAAGCAAATGTGGTGTTTGACATCAGTAACGAGGCATAAGAGAGAGAGAAAGAGAGAGAAAGAGAAATGCTGAACAAATTCAAGAGTCTCACGACAGTCAATTCGTGCATGCGCGGACGTCAATTTTCTCTCTCATTTGAAATTTCGCTTCCAGGTGCAAACGCCGATTAATGCGCTCTCTCACCCACTTTTCTCGAAACTCATTTAATGCGTCTCTTCTGCGAAACATTTTTCCTACCGCACCGTCGACCGGCCGGCTTTTAGCTAAAGAGGAGACTTGTTACCCACATACTTAATGCCATCTTGTAAGATGGGAATCGCGTTCCTGACGAGTAGAGACATTTAATGAACGGCGTAATGGCCGCGCAATTCCCGACAATTACTTAAGAAATCGTGTACCTTCGATACGTACGATACATTCAATTAGGCCAGCGTCCTTTCTGCTCTTTTTTTTTTCTCCTTTAATATTTCCCGCTATTCTCTCATCGATCTCGTCGTTCAATTCATAGACTTACGGCCGTTTTTCAGTCAACTTCAAGAAAAAGAGGTTCTTAATTTTATTTTATGAGCATGCTGTTTGTTTGTTTGTATATTTCCTTATAAACTTGAGAACTATTGGAGATATTGAGATGAAACTTTTTATATAATTTATACAGTTATTTTATATAATTTATACAGTATATTATCTGCATG